GAGGGGGGGGAGGGTTTGGTATCGGGGCTAGCGCGCGCGTCCGCTTTCCCACGGGGGACGGACATGCGTCGTGATAAGTCCAGATACGAGGCTGTGTGAGTCGCGACCCCGGAGTCGGAAAAGTTGCGTCCCCTGACGGGCCATGCATCGTCGGCGGGGGCTGCGCAGGGCTGGGCGTGGGCGGGGCCTGGCGGGCCGGTGGCAGGGCCCGGGGGTAGCCGACCTACTCTGCGCGCTGGCCTCGCGGGCTGTCGCACAGTGACAGGAAAGCACAGGAAATAATAATTTAGAAAAAAATGTGGAGAAGAGGTCACGCGCATACAATATGCGGCGGAAATAATATACTCTTTCAAACGATTTTCTTTGCAGGCCGCAGAGAATCTAAAGCTAATTTTCGCAAGATCGCAAAACTAATTCTTTGCAAAACAAAGACGGCATATTCCTCGCGCAACCACTGTAATCAATATCGTCGTAAATTTACAATATTTTTGTAAACTCGAATTATAATTTAAGTTGTAAATTTACAAGAGCAGATTCTTTACTCGCAAATGGATTTTCAGTCGATACGTACAGCATGTATTTTTACGATTTCAAATTATAATTTTACAACTTGCGTCACGGAAAATTTTCCTGTAAACCTACCTAATTTTATTTACAGTGACGCTGAATAGGCAATGGTAAGCAAAGCATTTTTACAGTGTGACCCGGCCGACCAGTCCCGCCCGATTCCTCTTCAGGCAGGGGAACAACCTGTTAAACACATTCGTATAGCTGCAAACCACCCGTATGGAACACTGTGGCTGTAAGACAGAGTTTTCTGGTCTCATCGGCGAGCCAGGGAAAAGACGGTCACACGACGGTCAGCAGTGAGGTACTTGTGCGCGACCATGCGTCGCTGAGCTAGGAAGAGCTGATATAATACGAAGGGCCTTCAAGTGTATTTAAAATCTACGACGAAGCTTCGTTGTCGTCGTAATACGAATGAATGCTTCGTAGAATTTAAACAGCGTGGTTGCACATCGCACATGCACCTCACTGGTATAGATAGTTAAAATTCGTAGTCACCCTCGTGGGTGCCTAAGCGGCGCAAGCAGCCGGCCGATTGAGACTCGCCGTTCGCCTCATCTCCCTCAGGTAACCGCTCTGGCCAAGTGGGCACCGTCACCGACTCCCAACTCAGCGACATGCGTTCGACGCTGGGCAGGGCTCCCCTTTTGGCTTCCCCTTCCCTAGCCCAGCCAGCCAAGTCGTCTCTCAACCGTCTTTAAAATGCACTTTTTCGAGACGGAAAAAAGACGGCCGTGAGCGCGAAAATCAGCTGGTGGAAAGACCGTCGTGAGCCGGACCAACCGTCGTCCATCCGTCTTTCAGCGGTCTCTCCACAGGCTCCAAACCGGCGCGTGACCGTCTTTTCCCTGGCTCGCCGATGAGACCAGAAAACTCTGTCTTACAGCCACAGTGTTCCATACGGGCATGCAGCGCGAGCAAAAGGAGAGGTTTCTGATATGTCTTTTTACGAACAGTAACTCTCTGAACGATAACATAGAAAAGTCGCTGTCACAAGAGGGGGAAAGAAAGGAAGGAAGGGAGAAAGAGTGAGACATAGGGATAGAGACCGAGAGGGGGGAGGGGAGGATTCAATAGGGAGCGCGGGGTGGTCCGTCAGCACACCATTTATTTATGAAAAATTCAGGAGCACTTTTGCGCACAGCTGGTCCGTCTGCGCAGGAGCGCGCGCCCGCGCTCGCGCGACGCACCACCACTTAGAACACCTTTACGGCCTCCTCTCTCTCCCTCTCTCTCCTGCTGCGCTCTCTTTGTCCCCCCCCCCCTATCTACTACTTCTCGCGGTTGCACTTAATTACCCCCCCCTCAACTCCCCCTCCTTTACCGCCAGCGCGCAAAGCGGCACGGCGCGGGGCGGGAATTGAAACATATGGCGGACTTCCGGGGCAGATCCAGACGGAAGTAGAACCGGAAGTGGAAGGTGGACGTCCTTTATTGGTCCGTGTCCAAATCGCCGGCGGCGGCGGCGACGGTCTGGCTGGCGGCCGCGGCGACCGGGTTATAAGACCGGGTAAGGTGGGGGGGG